CCTGGGAATTCACCGGGTAGCAAATGCCCTGAGAAAGCACAGAAACCACAACAGAGGGCCGGAGAGGGGGATGTTGCCCTGTCTCTTCCCTCATCCTTTACATTTGCATCCATGGCCTCTAACAGTTCTGCAGTGCTTGCTTCTTCCCGGGGGCTTTGTATACAAAGTGCTATCAAACGGTCTGCTCCTGGGGACAGGGACAATGTCTGTTTTCCTCATTGCTGTGTCCCCAGTGCTGACAGTGGGGCCTGGTGTCTAGTAGGGGTCCAGTAAGTATCTATGAGTGAATGAATGAGTGAAGTCCCGATTCCGTTTAGGTGCTGCTGGGCCCCTCGGCTTGTCATTTCTGCGATGCTGTGTGTACCTGTGTCCTGGAGGAGGACGAGAGAACACCGTGCTAAGCCAAGAGGCCCTGGCACCTCTGCAGTCCCGCCGGCCTCCCTCCAGGCCCTGGCTTCTGAGGAGGATGGGGCTCGCAGCTGAGTCTGTGATGCTGCCAGGACAAAGCAGGGAGCAGGGACAGCAGTGCGCCAAGCCCTCTGGGAAGTGTGGAGTTTGCCAAAGACAGAGATTGGCCTGGGCTGAGCTTTGGAGCAAGTGAGAGGCTGGCCCGGGCTAGTCATTAAAACAGCAGTTGACCTCCTGGCAGCTCGCGTGAGGCCCCGCAGACCTCAGCCCTCCCCAGAGAGAAGCCCATCCATCACGGGGGTCCTCGGGGAGGGCTGCGGGTGTTTTTCTGTGAGTCAGTTATGGGGCTCTGTTTTCAGCACAGATCTTGTCAAATTCAAGCTGTCAACAGCACAGACCCTGAAAGCCTGTCACAGACCCCTGGGGACACGTGTGTGGCGGGTGACCTTGAGGGGGATCTCTGAGTGTGGGACTGTGGTGATAAGAGGGACAAACGAGAAGAAGCCACCTGGGCCGATAGCTCATTGTGCTGGTCCATGCCACCCGCTCGGTGTTTGTCCTTGAGGGACGTCTGCGCAGCTGCACTGAATGTGGCTTCCCCATCCCACACCCCACCCCCCCCAACCCCGGGTTGCCTCTCTCCCTCTGTGCCATCTTTTTCTCACAGGGAACATGGAAGGAGGTAGCACATGGAGGGGGTTAAGGATGTTGACTGGCTCTGCCACCTGGAAGCTGTGTGACCTTGGGTAAATTACTTAATCTCTCTGAATCTGTTTCCTCAATTGTGGTGAAGATTACATGAGATGATACAGCACTCAGCATAGGGTCCCCGCAAGCTGTAATTGCTCAATGATTAGCAGCTATTATTAGCATTTTTATGGAGGTGAAGCACAAAGCAGCTTGGATTCCTTACTGGTTTTCCCTCATTTCAGTAGCATTTTAGCTCCACTTGGCCTCATACCATTCTCTTGCAAAGATGAGTAAATGGAGGCTGAGCTGGGACTGGAGGCCAGGTCTCCCCCCTGCGCTGTTTCCTATCTTGGTGTTCGGATGGTTTGATGAGAGACCGGGTGGTCCCGCCAGCCCTATGTGGGCACAGCCACCCGGGCTCTCTTCAGAGGGGCACAGCTGGCCTCTGTGTGGGGCTTTCTCCTGTCCTGGGCAGAGGGCAGGAGCTGGTGTCATGGGTGGGCTGTCCTTGGGTCAGCTCTGGGGCAGGGGATGTCTCATCCAAGGCCATGGGGGCTCAGAAGCTGGACAAGTGAGGTGAAAGTTGAAATCACATTAGCTAAAAAGAGCCTTGTGAACAGGCTGTGAAATGTGAAGGCCAAGGGCAGATGTGGACTTTGAGGAATCTGGATGATAGAGAGGTGAGAGGAACAGCAGGAAGACGGTGGAAAAGGAAAGCTGCCTGACCCCGGGCCCTGGCATACATTGATGTCTGTGAGGCGGTTGCTTCAGACCTCCTGTGGTGGCATGTTTAAAGGGCCCAGAATGTTCTAGAAGGCTCCTCTGAGAGGATGCCAGAGTTCCCTCACCTTACATCTGTGGTGAGTGTTGACTGCTGGGGCTGATCCGAAACCTCGTCCTCCTCAGGAGCAAATATTCCTGGTTGGAGGAGTCTAGATAGAAACGGCAGGACTCACACCCACAGGCTGGCTCTTCATCAGCATTTATTAAGCACCTGCTGGGTTAGAGTGAGATATAAAAAGTTTCAGGACAAGGGCTGTTAGCCTGGCCTCTTTTCACTGGAGGGTCCCTACCTCTTGACAAGATGAGGGGCTTGCAAATGCCCTTCTGGAGGGTGCTTGTCCTTTGATCCTCCCCTGAGGTCAGACAGGGCAACTGGGTGGAGGGCAGCCAGAGCCAGGCTGTGACCCTGAGGGGTCCCCCAGAGGGTCCTTGAATTGTGGGCAACGGCAACTGCACCCAGAAGCAGGGCTGGCCGGTGGACGTGTGCAGGGAGAGGCCAGTGGTGGCCAGGCAGTCAGCAGGGTTGGCCTGGGTTATCTCAGGGCGCCGTCTGCCTCCACAATCACTCAAAGACACAAGCTGCATTTCCTACCGGCCTTTTAAGAAAGGCACCCACCTTGTGAAACACCAGGGCAGAATGGAAACTCAGAGAGTGTGACCAGACGCCCCTCCTTCTGTGCCGATGGTCACACAATCTCCAGTCCAGGCACTGAGTGATGTGGGGACTTACTTGTGTGGATGCCCCAGGTTACCCCAACCCCACCCCCACACACAGCTTCATAAACAGCACTGGGCTGGCTCTGTCTCTGATCACGTTAGCGACTGTGGATTGCTCATTTTCTCTCTCTCTCGGTGTCAAAGGACTTTGGACTAGAGTTGTGTTTCCCAGAATGTGGTTTTGTGTACCACTGGTTTTATGTGTGGATGAGCTATTTTACATATATATATATATATATATATATATATATATATATATATAATTTTTTTTTTTTTTGGTGAGGAAGATTGCCCCTGAGCTACCATCTGTTGCCAATCTTCCTCTTTTTGCTTGAGAAAGATTATCGCTGAGCTAACATCTGTGCTGATCTTCCTCTATTTTGTATGTGGGATGCTGCCACAGCATGGCTTGGTGAGCAGCATGTAGGTACATGCCTGGCATCCAAACCCACAAACCCCAGGCAGCAGAAGTGGTGTGCATGAACTTAACCAACACGCCACCTGGCCTGCCTGGGTATTTTATATATTTATTTCAATGCTTATTAGAAAAAATTTAACGGGCATATGAAACTTGAGATTTCATGCTTATTATTGCCTGAGATAAAGCTAAGTTTATTTAAGTAAAAGAAGATGAGTCAAATGTAAAGAAAAAATTGGATAATAGTATAGGTTAATGTTGTCCCCTAGAACTACAATGGGAGCCAAAAATATGGACCACATATGTAATTTAAAATTTTATATTGGTTACATTGGAAAAAAAGAAACAGATGAAAGTAATTTTAATAATAGATATTTTATTTAACCTGATATATCTAAAACATCATTTTGACATATAATGGGTAGAAAAATCATTGAGAGATTTTATATTCTTTTTTTGGTAATACATCTTCAAAATCTGATGTGCGTCTTACACTTTTGTGCCATCCCAGTTTGACCTAGCCACGTTTCAAGGGCTCAGTGGCCCCATGTGGCTTGTGCCTACTGTGCTGAAAGTGTAGGTCTAGCCATACGCTGGCATGGCAACATTAGAAAGGTGGAATGTGGATTTCTGCAATCTAGAGCCTTCCAGCTCAGCTCTTACATCTTTGCCTCTCCCACACACTCATTCTCTGCCCCACCCAGAATTGCTCTGCCCCACTCTCCAAACTGAAGCCACTTTCTTGCCTATATTCACCCTGACTTTCCTCCCGTACCTGGCATCATACTTCATCAGTTGCCCACCAGAAATTTCATGTGTGGGAAATTTGTATTATATGTGTCCGGTGAATGTTTTACAAGAAATAAATCAGAGAGAAGCCCTTTGAAAGCCAGATAGAAATGCCTTTTGGGTCATCCTAGCTGCTGTCTCTTAATCATTGGCCAGTGGCAACTTGCACGCGTGTGTTCTCCGTGATGGGTCGACCTTCTCTAATTCATTTGGCAAATGGCCCGAGGGGATTCAGCAAGCTCTCTGAAGGCCCTCAACATCACTTGTTATCAATGTTTTATATCCATCCGAGTCATCTGGGGGACTTCTTAAGAATGCAAAGATGACTTCGACACTATTGGTTGGGGCATATAATTACGATTCTGGGCACGTGATTCTGATACACATGGAAGTTTGAGAACCACTGCCTGAAATCTACTCCTACCATAGGTAAGCTGGTAATGGCTTGTTGGAGAACTCCAAATTGGAATTTTGTAGGCCTCATCATTTCAGACATAAACACTAGAAGAAGCATGAACTCTTTCTATCACACAGTCATGACTAAACTGATTGGAAATGCTCCTGAATATGCCACAAAGGACTGAGCGTCAACCCAAAATTGCCTTAAGAAGAAATCCCTACTGAACTCTAACCAAGCCAGGCATCAGTTCCCTGGGCCCTTAACAACTGTTATTTTCAAAAAGGGTTCTCACTCTCATCGCCCATTTGTTATCCCTGCCATTTTATCTCCTGCAATGCTCTCCAAGGACCAATTAATTTCATCTGAATGGAAGCATGAGTCAGAAGTGGGAATGAGCTTGTCCTGGATCAGATGTCAGTGTGTGTGTCTGTGTACAACGGCATGTGCACGTACATGTGCATACAGCATTACTCAGAAGGAGTCTGAGCTAGAATCTCAGGTCTCATCAAGAAAGCCATCCTTCCATCCCAATCTAGAAATAAAGCTCTTGTGACTCATGGAGTCCATATGGAGAGGTAAAGTGAACTCAACTCAAGTGAAGAGGGAAACAGAAAAAGGATTCTGAGGCCCAAATGCGATGGAGTTAAGACAAGGACCCAAGAGAAAACAGTAGAATCCTTAAAGTAAGGGGGGATAGAATTTAGGTTCATTAAAGGTATACTCTGTATATATTTAATGACCCTGTAGGGTAGATATTGTTAGTCTCGTTTGTTAAATAACAAAAACTCAGCTGAGTAAGTTTGAAGATCAACTTGGCTTTATTCATTGACTTGTGAATCCAACAGCATCCCATCTAGCAAGTAGAAAGCATCTCCAGTGAGCTGTAGAAAAGGAAGGGATTTTTAAAGGCAGAAAGGGGGTGGAAAAAGGAAATTGTTAGCAAAGAATCCATTTTTTTCCTGCAAGGTTGCCCTCCTAAGGGGAGTGGGAGGGGCCTATTGGGCAGATGACTTCACTAGTGCTGACCAGGTAATTCCAGGTTGACTGGTTAAAAGTTAGATTCCTGGGAGAGGTTGAGACCGTAGTTAGTTTAGGCATTAAGGCTTGACTTGGTGACATGGGGCTTAGCATAAGTGACTCCATTTTGGGCCAGTTGTCTCCTCTTTAACAATTTCCTCCTTTTGATCAGACTTGCAACTGAGAGATGTGATTAAAATTTAAGGCATTAGCACCAGTCTGAGCTACCACTTGCAGCTTTTGTTGTTTCTTTGTGTGGCATCCATAGGACAAGACATTTTTGCTTGATCCTTGTGACATTCAGAAGTCACGGCTCCAGGTTCACAATCCCTAAGTTGATCGTTCTCTTTGTTCTTTGCTTGGTGGTTAGTGCCTGCAAACATGGATTTAAAGCTTTTGGGAGAATATAATGCACTGGGGAGATTGTGATTATAATATACAATTATACGTATAATATATAATTATAATAAGCAGGATATTTCTCAATGTTTGGAGTGCATTTAGGAGCCATGGCCCCAAAGACTGTAACTAGTCAAAACCAAATAAGTGAAAGAAAGACCCCATGGAAGAAGTCAGCTTTTTAAGCCAAGTGGCTTGCTCAGTGATCTTTTGTAGCTGAGTTTGAACTTCCCCAGAAGTGTTAATCCAGGTATAGCAGGTGGTTTTGGCCACAGCACAGACACCTCCTTGCTAGCTAGAAGACAACCAAGTGTTATCCTATTTTCAAGAACAACTTTGGCCAGAGAGTCTAAGGATCTTTTTTGGGCAGCTATTGTGTTAGCAATGGAATCTGCAATATTTTCAAGAGTTAAGGAGAGGTTTCTGATCATATTCTCAATTATATTTACTCCTAACTGGGAAAGTGTGGCCCTGCCAAAGGAGGGGAGTTCTGAGTCACAGTGCCTCTCGGTAGGTCCTTTAACTCAATGATGTAAATTCAGGGACATTGGCTAATGAGGTGTCTCAGTTTGTTTGTGAAAAGTTAGGGGTAAAGTTAGATGACCTGTGGAATTTCCTCCTATGCACCAGCCATCTAGATATTCATAGGCCCAAGGAAAATGATAATTGCCAAAGACAGAGATAAACCTGTCGAGGCACAAAGCACTTTCACTAAGGTGGTACTGTTAATGGATTCATTCACAAGGATTGTTACTTTTGTCCGTTGAAGCCAGGGGTCAGTTAGGTTTTAAATTTCGTAGCCTGGAATAAAAAGTTATTCCAAATTCCAGCAATTACCCCACTTAGCAATGGCTTGGAAAATATGGATGATGGCTTTATCTTTCCAGGCCAGTACCAATGTAAAGGAAAGAAAGAGCCGAAGAGAGGGATTCATGTTTAGTTAAAGTAGAAAGTTTTGATCTGGTGTCTTGGGAGGAAACAGTCTACCTCGATTTCAGCTACTTCTCTTCCTAGTCAGTTTGATTTGGAGGGCTCCAGCACTCGTCCAGCACCAGACGTTGGCTGGAGTCTTCTTGAACTGTGAGATGTGTACCCAAGGCTTGAGTCCCTGAAGTTTGGCTGTCATCTGGACGGTGAGGACGACCTGGTATAGTCCTTTCCAAAGAGATTCAAGGGCAGTCTTTATTCTTCGTGATTCCAAATCAGAAGGGTGGGATAAAATTGGAAACATTACATTGGAGAGTTGTAGCCAGACACTTGACAAAAGGGGAAGAATTCAGGACCGGTCCAGTTACAGATATAGAACAAAACATCAAAGACAATTAACAGCACTAGAATCTAATATTTACCAAGGTGCAAACATAATTTTTCTCTCTGTAATTACCTCCTTCTTTTCCCCAAGGGTAATCATAGTAAAACTAATTTCTTTGCATTAGATTTGGCCTGATTATTTACATAAGTGCAGCAAGAACAGTGATTGACCTTACAAGCTCTTTTTAAGACTGCTTTGTTGGAACACTTTAAAAGGAATCTCAGATTGAACTCTGAAAAATATCTCAAGGCCAGGTAGCCAAGCCAAGTTCAAGCAGTCTCTTATCCTTATTGGTTCTGGGCATATCTGAATCTAGGCATATCTCTCTCAACTATGACATTCCAGTCAAAGTTTTGGTAATATAGGCCATGTTTCTAATTGCATCCTGTTCCAAGCAGAACAGATTTTTATTGAACTTATGTAAATGACTAACTATATCGCTTTGAAAAGAATGCTCAAGAGTTTCCAGATTTTGGAGGGATCAGGTAGGGAGAAAAAGTAAATGCTTCATCTTTGTTTACAAGGTATATTTCACCAAATTGCCGTCAGTCGTAGATAGCCTAAGAGAAAAAGTTTCCTTAAATCTGGAAAAGCAAAACATTAGAGAACCAGCAATGTTTCAAATGAGAAATCATAAAAATTATAATCCTCCTCAGTTTATTCAGTCTTGTATTATTGATTCTTGTTCTGCTTGAATTCAGTTTTTCCATTAGTTCTGGGAGTTCTTACCCAGTTCAGTTTTACTATCTTAAAGTTATCAGAAAACTGTATTTGTCAAAAGTCCTTTCCTTGAATCTCCTTGAAGACGAAGTGTTTTTGCAGGAACACTTTTGTAAAGCATCCGAGTCAAATAATAACTGTCTGTAAATGATAAAAGACTTAAAAATGCCCATTATTAAAGATCTGATGAGAGTTCATTATAATAAAATTGACAAGGAAATTTGGTTATTTCTGTGACATACGACATGTTAAGATAATAACAAATTATGACTGATAACATTATACCAGGACTCATCAGATTTTCAGGAATTTCACACAATTTCTGGGACACATAACATATATCTATAGTAGACACAACATAAAGAGGACTTAGTATTTCTTCTTATTTGACAATGTCTCCCAGGTAATTTAACCTATCAAATAAGCTTAATTAGTTTGGGATCTCCCTTTTTATAAGGAGATAGAACAAATCCTTGGAGATCTTCCATTGTTTCTCTGAAACATTTCAGGGTCAGTTCGAGGTCAAGAAGACTTCATATAGAATTAGGATTTTGGAAAGTTTGTCAAAAATATCGAAAAGATTTTAAAGCACTTAGTTGAATAGGATCGTAGTTCACTGTGAAACAATACTTCGTTATCTATTTAACTAGAGTGACAAATATTTCACCAGCAAATATAGAAAGTTAAATAGTTGTAAGTAAAACTTAAGTCTTTTAATAGAGAAGACTCAGTTTTCTTAATAATGGAAGACCTGATAAACACAATATGGAATATAGGTGGTTATTTTGACAAGACACAAATTCTTTGTTTGCTGGGTATACTTCTTAAAAGGTAAAGAAAAACCGTTTACAATCTCTTATTAAGAGCAGACCAAAAGGCCTTCTCAGCAAATGAAAAAAAATTGTTCCAGTTTTCCATAAGTACACTATTGATATTGAAGCTTATTTTTAAAATGCTTATAAACATTTATTCAATCTTATCCAGCTTGGTCACACATAGAATTCCTTTCCCAGGATTCCTTTCCCACGAACTTTTTACAACTTTTTTTTTATTTGAGGAAGGTTCACCCTGAGTTGACATCTGCTGCCAATCTTCCTCTTTTTTTCTTTTTTTCTTTTTTTGCTTGAGGAAGACTCACCATGAGCTAACATCTGTGCCGATCTTCCTCTATTTTGTATGTGGATTGCCACCACAGCACGGCTGCCAATGAGCGGTGTAGGTCCGCGCCCAGGAACTGAACCTGGGCTGATGAAGTGGAGCGCACCAAACTTAACCACTAGGCCGTGGGGCTGGCCTCTATAGCTTTTTTCTCATTAAAATTTTGTCTTATGTTTTTGTCTCCTTCCTATTTTGAAATAACTAGAGATAACTAGGGCAAAATTACTCTCTTTAGGGCAAAATTGCTTTCTTTTCTCTCAACAAAATTCATTTCCATTCTTCATACATTTGTTTACTGAAAACTTCCGTCCTCTTTCCTTACGTATGGAAATGTTTTCCTTTATTATCTCTAGTATTTTTAGTTACATATATTAGAATTCTTAACCCTTAAAACCTTTAATCTCTACTGAAAACTAGGAAGTAAGCAATTATGAACTATCTTTTACATTAGCATTTTGTGGATTGGCAGAGTTATACATAATTTTTATGATTTCTAGCAATGTTCAATCTCGTAGAAAATTTTTTAGCATGGCATAAAACATGGTCATTAATTGACCCAGATGGCTTTAATTCCTCCGTAAAAGGAAGCAAAAAGTGGATAAACATATGTTGAGTAATTAACTTTTCAATATTTTGTCTCATTTGGAAATGATCTGGATATTCAATGAAATTAACTTAGCTCATCATTTAACTTAGCACAACTTTAAGATTCCAGGTTACTAAAAGATTTGGGGAAGCTTTATAAAGTTCATCTAAAAATTTTTTGTCTTACGTCTATTTAATTTATTTCTTCTTAACAACTATGTTTAGATTATCTACTTCAACTAGCTTTTATTTACCGAAGATTATCCGAGATGATATGAACTTAAAAACTACCCTAGATGATATGAACTTAAAAAACATTTAGGTTAAGTTTCTATATTTCTGAAAGTATGCTTAATTATAGCACTTGTTTGTTTTTAAGCCAATTAAATTCAACTCTTTACAAATTAATTTTAGCAATACCATCTACAAGTAGAAAATACCACAAAGCTACATAAACATATAGACAGATACAAAGAGAGACCTTATAGCTATTGCTTTAAAAATACACTCGTGTGTTAGTTGACAGGAATACATTCTGAGAAATGCATTGTTAGACAATTTTGTTGTTCTGTGAACATCATAGAACGTACTTACACAAACCTAGATGGTATAGCCCACTACACAGCTAGGCTGTATGGGATAGCCTGTTGCTCCCAGGCTACAACCCTGTACAGCATGTTTCTGTACTGAGTACTGTGGGCAGTTGTAACACAGTGGTAAGTACTGGTGTATCTAAACGTATCTACACATAGAAAAGGTACAGTAAAAATATGATATAAAAGATAAAAAGTGGTACATCTGGAGAGGGCACTTGACATTAATGGAGACTGCAGGACCGGAAGCTGCGCTGTGAGAGTCAGTGAGTGAGTGGGAGTGAATGTGCAGGCCTAGGACGTCACTGTGCACTGCTGTAGACTCTGTAAACACTGTACACCTAGGCTACAGTAAATTTATAAAAAGGGTTTTTCTCCCATAATAAATTAACCTTAGATTACTGTATCTTTACTTTATAAACTTTTAAATCATTTTTAACTTTTTGACTCTTTTGTAATAACGCTTAGCTTAAAACACAAACATATTGTACCGCTGTACAAAAAGATTTTCTTTCTTTCTATCCTTATTCTATAAGCTCCTCTATTTTTAAAGTTTTTTATCTTTGACTTCTTAAATTTTTTCTTAAAAACTAAGACACAAACACACACATTAGCCTAGGCCTACACAGGGTCAGGATCATCAATGTCAATGTCTTCCACCTCCACATCTTGTCCCACTGGAAGGTCTTCATGGGCAATAATGTGCTTGGAACTGTCATCTCCTATGATAACAGTGCCTTATTCTGGAATACCTCCTAAAGGACCTTACCTGCCTGAGGCTCTTGTGGGGGTGTCGCTCTTTTTCAGAAATATGTCCATGGTGGTTTGCTTGGTTTGTTTCTTTTTTTCATCACAGATTTGCTTGTAAGTAGATAACGTACCATGAACATTCCTCTCTATTAATGAAAACCTTTTGGTGTCGCGGTTCATGTTTTCAAATTTTTTAAGGAGCTTGCTGAGGTCTGCCAAACCTTCTGCTAAACCCTTCACTATGAATTTTTTTGGAGGTTCTTCTTCTTCTCCTCCTGCAGTTTCCTTTTCTCTTGCCTCTTCTTCAGCTATGCATTCCTGTTCCAGTTCCAACAACTTCTCATTAGTCAATTCCTCAGGAACCACCTTAGGAGCTCCTGCATGCCATCCTCATCCACATTCAGGGTAAGTTGTTTGCCATCTCAATCACAGCCTTGTTGATTTTTGCAACCTCCTCATCCTTGGCAAACCCTTTGAAGTCATGAGAGAACCTCTTGAGTGTTTTCTTTCAGATGCAATTCATACACTTTTTGGTGACATGACCCCAAGCCCAAGGTCCTTGATGCAGTCATGGATGTCGTAATCCTTCCAGAGTTGCATCAGTGTCTTCTCAATGTCTTCCTCAGTTGCAGCAATAGCCTGGGCAAATGTCCTCCTCAGGGAGTAGGCCTTAAAAACTGCTACAAATCCTTGATCCATTGGTTGGATCAAAGAGGTGGTGTTTGGAGGGAGAAACATGGCTTTGATGTTGGGTTGAAGGTCAGCATTAAAACATGGATGTCCAGGAGCATTATCAACAACATGCAAAATCTTGAAAGGCATGTTATTCTCCAAACAGTACTTCTCCATTTCACTGGGATAGCAATTCAGGAGGTCCTCTTGAAAGAGGAGCTGGGTCATCCATGATTTCTTATTGCTTCTGTAATAGACTGGCAGTGTGTGCTTATTGATACACTTGAAGGCCCTGGGGTTCTCACTGTGCCAGATCACAAAGAGTTTTAATTTGTAGCCTGCAATACTGCCCCCAGGTAAGACTGTTTTCCTGTCCTTAAAAGCCTTGAAACCTGCCATTGACTTGGCCTCCTTATGGATGAAAGTTCTTTCAGGCGTCTATTTCCAGAACAGGGAAGTCTCATCTCTACTGAATATTTGCCCTGGCAAGTAATTTCCCTCCACAATCAGCTCGACTAGAGTTGCCAAAAATTTTTCAGCTACCTTCATATCAGCACATGCAGAGTCACCACTCACGTTCACATTATGTATTGAATAACGATTCTTGAATCGTTTAAACCACCCAGAGCTAGCAGTAAATTCAACATTGTAGTTGGGTCCAGCCTTTTCTTTCAGCATTGTAAACTTTTTGCTTTGACCATGATTGTCATGGTACTGAGAGGGATACACTTTTGTGTCTGGTCTTCAATCCTGGTCATTAGAAGTTTCTCCATGTCTGACATAGGCTCTTCTCAAATTTTTGTTGGGCTTGTTGCCTTCAATGAAGCAGATCCTTTAACAGCTTACATCACTTTGTTTTTATTCTTTAAGATCATAGCTTTGGTGGAATGGAGTATGCTTGACTGCTGAGCAATAACCATCACTGATTTTTCACCTTTGAAGTCCTAAATCACTTTTAGTTTCATTTCCAGTCAATAATTCGACATGGCTTCTTACTGGCAACATTAGCAGTGGATTTTGTACATTTAGGGGCCATGATGAACAAAACAGCGTGAGATTAAAGCAAGCACAAGAGAAAATAATGCAATCCAGAGATGCAGTAAAAACAAAGTGTAGGAAGCTGCTGCCAGAGTATCATGGCATATTGTTTTGTAGTAAACATTTTTTTAATAAGTAGAAAGAATACACTCTAAAATAATGATAAAAACTATAGTATAGTAAATACATAAACCAGTAACAAAGTTGTTTATTATTATTGTCAAGTATTATGTACTGTACATAATTGTATGTGCTATACTTTTATATGACCGGCAGTGCAATAGTTTTTTTTACACCAGCATCACCACAAACAAGTGAATAGTGCATTGCACTATGATATTACAAAGCCTATGATGTCATTAGGTGATAGGAATTTTTCAGACCCATTGTAATCTTATGAGACCACCATTGTATATGCCGTGTATATGCAGTCCATTGTTGACCAAAAGGTCACTATGTGGCACATGACTGTAGAATAACCTCCTGAAGTTGGTATTTTAAAGAGATGACCTAGGTAGCTATTTACGTTTATATCTCAGAGGCATAGGGGAAGAATGCAAGTTCCTCCAAGAAGGACTTTGGTTTCCTAACGCCAATAATTTACAAGTCTTTTGAGATAAATGGGGAAGATTGTGAGATTGGTAAAAGGAATGGGTGAACTTTGAATTGCCTCTAGAGCTGCATTTCTGGTTTTGCAAGGATTTGTGAAATCAAGGCAATTGCTCTCAATTCCTCAAAGAATTGGTTTGCAGCCTAAATGACATCATAGATTGACCCACGCATCCAGTTACATTATCTCCAATTTCCTTAGGGGAGAAGACCTAAAATAAAAGTTCCTTTTAGGCTCTGAATATCAGCTTCCAATTTGGCCAACTTTTGACTATGGAGGTACTTAAAAATTTCTTTTAAATATCTTGTGAGTTTTCAGCTGGGACAAATAGTAAATATTTCTGGCAGTATTAGGTGACCCCCTTGGACTCAAGAGACATCCCCAAAGAGGGTGCAAAAGAAGTTTTATTTTTCTCTCTAGTGGGTACTGCAGACAGAGACCTGAGAGGACTGTTCTGGTAAGAACTCCCACCCTTAGCCGGCTTCTGCCGATTTTCCCAAGATCCCATCTGTACCTTCTGAGTGGAGTGTAAACGGAGAGTGTAGCTCTGATATTGCTAGAATTTGGCGAGGGTTTTTATTAATTTTAATTTTAGCTTCCTCTTGGCTGTTTAAGGGAATAACGTAGTAGTTTACCAGAAAAGCCCTCAGAATCTTGTCAGCTCTGGGAGGGGCCGATAGGGGGGCTCTCCTTTGAGGGCAGATATGAAGGCATTTGAGTTGATGTTGAAAAATTTGTATAGGCCCTTTGAGGACAATGTCTCTTCTGGTGTCTCAGCTTATACACCTGAGACATCAACCCCTGGGCCAGCATTTTAATGATGGACCCCAAGGAGAGAAGGAGAGTATGATGTGTGGGGTTCAGGTGTTATTGTAGGTCCCTGGCCTTGAAGCCGTTGCACCTATAATGCTAATGGTTTGGCGGACTTTTGTTTGCAATCTGTGTCTTTAAAGTTTCATTATCCTTTTGTAATGAGGTTTTTTTTTTTTTTCCTGAGGAAGATGCGCCATGAGCTAACATCTGTGCCAATCTTCCTCTAGTTTTTTTTTTAGTATGTGGGCCACCAGCACAGCATGGCCACTAACAGAGTGGTGTAGGTCCATGCCTGGGAACTGAACCCAGGCCACCCAAGCAGAGTGCACTGAACTTAACCACTAGGCCAGCATGGCTGGCCCTGTAATGAGTTTTTAATAAAGCTATTTTGGAATCTTGAAGCCTTTTGGAAGCTTCTACATGCCAATTAAAATAGCTATCCTATTCTGTTTGTTTGGTATGGGAACCTTTACTTTCAAATGCATTTCTTAAGTGAATGATCTTGTCTAATTGGAATGTTCCTCACAATGACTTTTGTAATTCTAGTTGTCTTTAGTAAGATTTTGCTATTTTTGTAGATATCTACAGCTTCTGGGTCTGCAATTCTTAGACATAAAATAAGCAGGTGTGCTGAAGGTGGCATGCTTAATTCTTCAGGTTTTAAGGATCCCATTTTAAGTTATTTATTTATTTTTTTAGCTAAGCCTTTGGGTGTCTTGGAGCCAAACTAATACCTAAAGGGGGTGAACTGCTGGGTTGGAGACTGTGTGATGTTTCACAGATACCTCACTGCATGGAAATTTTCTTGAGGTTGATGGCTGACCTCGTGTCAATCTAACCCGTTCCGTGACCAACCTACCCTACACCGGAGTCTTTGGGTTAGGTGGTGAGCGCTCTAGCAGCTCTTAAATGCTTCACCCATGCCCACTAATTTTGTGGCTTTTTGACTTCTGAGATCGCCATTAGCTATAGCTTTTGTCTACACAAAACAAGACAAACAAACACGTGCACCTTAACATACCAGCAATAACCAAAGAAATCTTACTACAGACCGGCTAATACAAGGCTGTCTGCACTACCAGCAATTCCCAGTGTGGACTAAACCAGCAGACTCCAGTAAATGGGGACTGCAGACTGCAAATGGCGAAAGGACTAAGCCAGCAAACCCTCCATAATGGGGACTGTGGACTGGTTCCAAACTAATGGGGGAACTGCAGCTGCCACCAGCAGTTTCCAACATGGAATCTGGGGATGTGGGGACAAAACTGGGGAGAGGGATTCCAAACAACTGGGGAATTGCAGACTGAACCAAAGGCTAGGCACTCAGGTTCCAGATGGAACCATCTGCGAGCTCAAGCTGACCTGCTGAGCCCTCAGCTGGAAAGCCCATTAGATGAGGAACTCAAGGCGAAGAGCACAGAGCTTAGAACAGAGCGGGGCTTATCCAGGGCCCTCCGAATGGTGAGAAAGACAGTGAACTCAAAGGGTCTGAGAGGTACTGCATGCGTGCTCATCACTGTTCCCAAACCTGTCAGAAGTTGTCCTCAGTCCTGTCACTGCCACCAAATCTGTCAAATTACAAAAACTCAACTGAGTAAATTTAAAGATTTGATTGGTTTTATTCAACGATTCATGGATTGGACAGCATCCCATCTAGCAAGTAGAAAGCATCTCCACTGAGCTGTAGAAAAGGAAGGGATTTTTAAAGGCAAAAAGGGGCTGGAAAAAGGAAATTATTAGCAAAGAATGCATTTTTCCCTCCAAGGCTGCCCTCCTAAGGGGAGTGGGAGGGGCCTGTTGGGCAGATGACTTCACTAATGCTGACCAGGTAATTCCAGGTTGACTGGTTAACAGTTAGATTCCTGGGAGAGGTTGAGACTGCAGTTGGGTTGGGTATTAAGTCTTGGTTTGCTGACACGAGGCTTAGCATAAGTGACTCCATTTTGGGCCTACTGTCTCCTTTTTAACAAATTTAACAGACTAATATGTTGAGGCCCAGGGAGGTAACCTGTGCTGTGTCAGCCGGCAGGCAGTAGAGCTGGGATCTGAATGACTGGAAGGCTGACTCCAAAGCTAGTGTATTTCTCCGAATACCAAGTACTTTCTCAAGATAGTAATTGCATAGCTTATTTCTGGGTTCCCTATAAACTTCCTGACTTACTCCTTGTAAAGAAAAAGAAAGCAAGAAGATGAAGTTACACTGTGTTTTTGTTGAAGACAGATCCCTATTCTAGATCCCTACATCCTTAGAGGGGGCTGGCCCCTTCCAGCCAGCATCAGTTCCCACAGTGCAGTTGTGAAGGTGACCATCTCAGTCTGGGAGCTACAGCATCATTGTACCAGCCAGGGACCCACCGGGAGGCAGATGGAACGCTCAAAAGGATAATGGAGGAGAATTTAACAAAAAAAACAATTTACAGAGGTGTGGGTAGGGTTAGGGAACCAACGAGGGATGGGGCTGTTACCACTCTGGGCCAGGAGGGGTAAGCAGAGGGAGTGTTTTCTCAAACCTAGGGAAAAGTGTAGCCCTGGGAGAGAGGGCCCTAGACAGGAGCTGTG